AGCTACGATGTTAAGGTTTCTGACGTGACCCTGGTGTAAAGGAACTAGAGGATTTAATTAGTGCTAAGAAAAACTACTCCTTTACCACCTGCGTGGTTGGCACCAGTTACGGTATATCCATTTGTTTTGTTTTTTTAGCTGCTTACACCAAATTCTCACTTTGCCATCAACATGTCACAACACAAATATTTGGAGCAGGAGGCAGCACTTTCTCCCACTCCTCAAATATCCAATTGAGGTGACAGAATTGTAACTCGGCCACTTTAGTTTGATCTTTTTGTTTTCACCGGACAGAAGTGTATCTCTGTTGTTGCCTGTAGCCGCTGCACTTTAATGCTTGATCTTCTGAGATGCCTCTCTGCACATGAGTGATTCTTCAGCATGGCTGTCCCATTTGATCATGCTATAGTCCTTAAAGTGGACGTATGCTCATTTTCAGGTTCAGAATTGTAATTTGGGCTTCTGATAGAACATGTTTATATGCCCCTCTCAAAGAGGGTGGTACATTCTAACGAGCCTGCATGTGACATATGAAGGGGAGCCAAATCTGAATGGCTTGTTGAAACATGTTTTCTGATCGATGCAGCCCACAAAATACTGACACAATTTCACACTCCAGATACCCAAATATATGTGCACAAGCATTTTAAAAGTGGGGTTTTCATGATATGTCCCCTTTAAATTAAACTGCAAAACATTGTGGCCCCAGCCTGGAAACTTCATATCTGTGAAACAGTCTTGAGGAGTGAGCAGTGAACCAAACATTGTTAGAGTTTAGTGAAAAAAACCAGTTTGTTTTACATGGAAAAAAACAATAAGGGTTCATTTAATTGCACATTGTATCAACCTATTGATTGGAATATTGACCTGCTACATGAAACAGACTGTTGTGTCCCTTTGAATTGATTACAGGAGCAGATAGCACAAAGGTCTCAGAGGTTCATTGGATGATGATTACCTGCAACACACTGTTTACTGCGGGAGGCATGAGCTGAATTTTGAAACAGTGCAAATGACTATGCATGAGCTATGTTGAGTAAAAAGGCTCCTGGATTATTTATTATAAACTATTTGTTTATTATCTATTTTTAAGACGTATTATTTACTGTTTGTATACTGTATGCCTGTACTGTATTTATATTTCTATAATCTATGTAAGCGTATGCCTTGATCTTTAGTAGCCTGCACAGAATCCCCCCCGTAAGAAACCATATAATTGTATACATCGTATGCATTGGGTGCCAAAATGGGCACTTGTTTGTTAAATCTCCATCTGGCTCAGCAGAAAAGTTTAGAAATAGAGTTATGTGGACAGCATACATTTTTGAAACAGAAAGTCAAAACGCAGTGCAGGAGCTGCTGCGTCTTCGGACACATTACCCAGCCGCTCTCCGAGTGCTCAGCGACACGCACCACCATGGCTGGCAGCCACGCTGCATTTGACGTGCTCAGCCGTCACAACAGTAATAACGAATCCGCTTTTATATCCAATTAAAATGTCCCTAATAGCACTGTGGTTGCATCGATTTCTCTGCAAATGGCTGTTCAGCTGAGACCATTTGTACTGAGGCGTCTCGAGGGTTTTGGATCTGGCTCATCGCACATTGGCTCAGAGTACAAACAAAGAGGGACTGATAAGTAAATAGCCCGTACGAGATTTATGCCTATGCATGTGAGCTTGTCACGGCACAACTGCCTGCTTTTAAATGACTTCTGCTGCCGTCTATGTCTGCTCAATGGACTTTGGAGACACCGGTAATGATGCAAATCTCCAACCCAGTCCATTCTCTCCATCTTTCCCAACCTGTCTCTCAACCACTACTCATAAAATGACTGCTATGATAGTGTTATAATATAATGAGCCATTGCAACATAGACAGTTCGAACAGGCTTAATCAGGTAGCGACAGAAATGTGCTTATTCTGCAACACACTACAGCCCCTCTCACTCCTGCACTGCAACCTTGAGCTTATCGAGATATAACTGGGAGAAGCTGTATGTGAGAACGCAAGTGTCCCAATCAGTTGCAACAGACTTTATTAGACTTTACCCTCGGTGGTGTCCAATGGAGCCCATGTATGGATAGAGCAGGTCATTGTCTGGAGAATTCACAGCCAAAGAGTGTGTTGATGACGGCCAAAGATTGTTGATGAACAAATGACTAACTGGCGTCTGACGTGGACAATCTCCTCCTGCATGTGTGAAAGGTCAACTTCGGACAATGTCATAAAAAAAACATAACTTCAACTTAAGATACATGTGCATTCAGAAGTACTGCTCTGCTTTCCCCCTCTACTAATCCATGATTTAAGGAATATTGCCCTTTGTATTTGAGCTACACGATGAAATAGAAAACACAGAGTTGGCTCCTGTAGCCATGCAGGTTTACAGCCAAACTGGGCCCACTTAGAGGGTGCCATGCACTATATAGAAATTCTGGAGGCGATGGCTGTTTTTATCATAAACAGCATATACTTGATGAGGAAGTGCAGAGGTACTGTAGAGGTAGCATTACTTTATGTAGCAAGTACAAGGAGCAACAAATAAATACATATTTACTGCCTCATCAGAATGTTTGATACACTGACTGCGGCCCCAGTACGTGATGCCCAATGTCACAGCGTCCGTGTTGCTTTGGTAAGGCAGTAGACCACAGCTAGCAGGCCTGTTGATGGGGAAGTACGTCATAGTCACAGGTAAACATTGGATGTTCAGTAAAACACACACACTGGACACTGAGTGGTATTTAATTGTAAGTTCACTTGTTTTCCTTGCATAGCTTAGTTCATATACCTTCTAAATGGTTGGGGGGGGGTAATCTATTATTCCAAATGTGTTTATGCAGTGAATTGTATCTAAAAAACAGACATCCATCAACAAACTTTGATAAATAAAAACAAAACACATTTATGCAGTGATTTTCAATCTCCTTGGATTTAATGCGTGATCTCACGGATGGTTTAACCTCCAGGTTACGTGACTCCTGATCTAAATCTAGGGAAATAAGTTATAGATTTGTTGAAAATTAGTCATAAGCTCAACTACTGCACGAGACACGGAGTCAATAATAGATTGAAGAGGGAGCGGGAGAGGGAGAAATACCCAAAAGGCAATCAGGAGTCCATATTAATTATGCTAATGATTTGGATTTGCTACTTCATTAACCACCATTTTGAGCTGCTTGATCACAAGGGTAGCTCCGCATAGAGTCTCTCTGGCAACTGTGTGTCGGGGGGGGGGAAAAAAACACCAGATGAGACACAAAAAGATTGTGTGTGTGTGTGTGTATGTGCACACATCTCTGTGCATGTATGTGGGCACATGTGCTAATTACAGCATCCGGTAATAACTGCAGAGACACTCGGCAATCAATTAGGTCCGATTCCTGAAACTACGTGAGGGGATGAATTCCAAAAATCATCTTCAATAATGTCTTTTGATTATTTCTAGTGTGTCATTTTCTATTTAAATAAAAATGTCCTCAGATTCAGGAGATAGCTTCCTGCAGTTTTCTTTGGGAAACAGCAGGTGGGAGCAGAGTTACGTATGCCTTCTCGTTACACTAATCTTTTCTGATGACTGATGCTCATATTTTTTGCCACGTGAAGAGTGTTTTTGGAGTAACAGAAAGCGGAGAGGTTTGGGAACCACTGATCTTCACAGTACATGACCAGAGCGCTGCATACAGCATGTAAACACGACGCTTAACTAATGATCCCAGGCAGTGTTAATTCCTCCGGGAAAGCCCATGAATTGCCCAAGAAGGCTGTGCAGCCTGTGGAAAAGTAATTCAAGGACTAAATGAAAATGTGTTGCCAATGATTAATTTCACATGTATCATCAGCCTGAATGCTTTCTTCTGCAGACATGAAGATTATTTGATGGCTCGACCAAGACAAAAGGAGAAATGGGGTCTTTTATATTACTAGAATGTCCCAGACAGATAAGAGCGGACCTCGGTTTTTCCTGTTGCTCGCTTTGAATGTAATTTAAATGAGCAAGAATAAGATGGGGGGGGAAGCAGGGACACGAGGCTGTCAACACGTGGCCGAGTCACTTTATCTTGTTGTTTGCCCTACTTTGCAATAATTGATCTGTATTTGTTCTCCGGCCCAGTGTACACAAACATGGCAAGCGGTCCAGAGAGGCATGTGTCCGTCTGATAACCAAAGCACGCCACTGGTCCTTCTCTCTGCGTCCCGGTCTGAAGCTTCCCTCTGGATGGGCTCCTTGGACAGGACCTGATGCAGCTCTTCACCTCACGCTACACGCTTATGTTGATCAACGACACTGTAGTTCCTCTTGAAACAATGAAGCCCGACACTTGGTTGAGTAAAGGATTTTGGGCCTCAACAATCTTGTTTTCCAGAGTGCATTGTGGGCTTAACAATACACATTTTTGCAAGCGGCACATAATTAATTTCACTGAATTTTGTGCACGCGTACAATTTTTGACAGTGTAATACCTCACTGTGGTTCCACTTCTTTCATCATGAGCCTCGAGTTTAATATGTGATGCAGTCGTCACACAAAATGAACCTCCTGAAAGTAACACTGACAATATTTGGTTTGATTGCCATAATTTTCTGTGGATAGTGGTGCATTTTCTGTATGAGAACTAACTTTCCGATACAAATATGGAGCCAGACATTCAGACAAATCTAGTGGGAGGTAAAGTCAGTCTGATCCATAGTGGAAGAGTTTGGGACAGAGTCACAAACACTGATTACGCGGCCCGAGGCTAACAGAATACTAAGGGACAAATTTGTCAAACAGCGTGAACTCTACCTGTTAGTCATCGGATTCTATAGTTCTGGAAAAATGTGGACTGAGTGGCAGTTCCATTTGTGCAAATTGTCAGCTGTCAAATAACTGCAGCTTATTTTCTCCATCAGGATGCTTTGAATCAAAACCTAATTTCTTTCTCAGCTAACCACGCGGAAGCTTTCCCGCCCCAACCATTTTCATTCCTTTTGTCAAATAAAGCTCAGGTGTCAGAATGTTTTATAGATATTTTTATTTCTGTTTTTACAGACTTTTTGTCACAACAAAGTCAGAAAGAGCATCTTTTTTTCTTTTTTTTTTTTGTCCATTACATAGTAGTAATTCATTTTTGAAAGCAACCAAGTGAGGACCAGCGACCATTTCATAGCAGAAAAGCAGAGGCAGTTTTGACATGCAGCGAAACAGGCAGGGCTTCTAACCAAATCCAAGGCAAGGGGAACGCCAACAGCCCCCAACCATCCAGTTCCAACTCTCACCCCGATGAACACATCACACAGAGCCCCCAGAGCCCATCAATTACAAAACACACAGAGAAGCTGCAACAAAAAAAGGAATTATCACTCTGACATCTCACTCCAGGGGTGACCAAAAATCAACAAATTTCTAGAATTCCTTATTCTATTTTGTGCCGTTAATGTTGCTTCGAAAAAAGGGATTCAGTAACAGATTTTAAAATTGAAACATTCAAGTCTTTCTAGTTAACCAGCATGGTGATTCGTCAAGGAGTACAGAATATAGTTTATGCATTACCAACGCAATGATTGGTCAAAAACACTGTTTGATATGTAAGTGATATGCCAAGTAGAAAAGGAAAATTTGACCCCAGGACCTCTCTCTCAGCCAACGTTTCCGAAATTTCATGATTGGAGGAAGTCTATTAAAAAAAAGAAATCACGGTGGAGGAAGAGGCCACAAATAATGAAAGGTAAATATAATTCAACCTTACGTTTCTTTTCAACCGATCTAGTGTAGTACAGTGCAATTACTGTATATTTCATGAGATTAATTCCTGGCCATACAATACTTATAGTGAAGTTGTACAAAATGTTAACACACTATTAATCTATTACCATTTGATTTCCAAGAGAGAACTGCAAATGAGGTGTATTTAAGTGCCAAGCTTTGCGTTTACATTACAGAGTGAGTTCTATTCAGAGCAGTGATTTTAGGATCCAGATGCAAGAGCGCTCCCCCAGTGTTTGGTCCCTAAGGGAGACATAGTTGACAAGTCCTGCTGTTAAATGGCTACAAACAGAGGCCAGAACAAGAGAATCCTATCCCAACAAACTTGGGGGAAAGAAAAGAAAAATAAACATGGTAAAGGAAAATCACCAGACAGACAAATGACCCTCTAACAAACAGACAAAAGCAGTGTTAAGACAGATGCTGATCGGGGTAAAAAGGGGCAAGTCCATCTTCCGTCAGGGGACCACTGCATCCATCTGTCTGTCCGTTCGTTCACCCACCTGTCCAGCCACCCCCCACACTGTGGTGTCTCACTTGAGCAGAGCCTTTATAGCAGCGTCCTCGGCAGCTTCAAAGGCACTGATGCCGTCCGGTCCTTTTCGGTCTTTGTCAGCTCCCTGTGGAGGAGAGGGGACATGAATATTAAATATGCTAAGAAGGTGCATCAAGTCTCCCTCACGGTGTGATGCCAAATCCACTCCATTGAGCCAGGGGTTAAGGTGAGGAGCAGAGACCTCAATCTATAGCCTCTTGTTGAATAACGCGTCCTCTGCCCATTTGCAAGAGGTACCGGACAATCGGAGGGGAGAGTTTTGTGAACATTGGAACACACCCCCTCCCATCTTAGAATAGCAGACACCTGAAAACATTTCACCTGAACAGAGGAGAGTCAGGACTTTGGCTCTCTATGGCCCAGATACTACGTTTAGAACCCGGGTTAACACACAGGTAAGGTTCTTGAGTTCCTGAAATGGTTCCTGGGGTGGAAAGGGACTACATTTGGGAGGTCAAACATGTGCCATGGAGAGCCAACACTGCTTATCAGTGTCTATAATTCTTCCTACAATTGTCTTGCCTATGGCCACACACCCTTATTCATCAGCTATCCTTATGTTAGCAAAACATTAATGGTGAAACTTGTCACTTTTACTTTCCTCTAAATCAGTCACTTATTCAAACAGCACATGCACAATAAAGCCACAGACGCAGAGACAGAATCATTTAAGCTCTGAGGGATAACCGGGTGAATGTAAAAGCTGTGAGTGGACATAATCTTTCAGAGGACAAAAAACGTAAGTAAAGAAGAGAGAGAATGAGACAGGCAACGTATTGAATGCACTGGCAAGAGATTTAATGGGCAACGGAGGCGTGGAGGGGCATGTGGTGGAGAGACGTCCCTTTGTCTGGCCTGCCAACTTTAGCCTCTTAGCAAAGGGCTTACAGCGCCAAGGCAGAGAGAGTCTATTGTTGCGTGGAGAAGCAGGGCATCAAAAACAATGCGACCCAGTTCAAGGGCCCGGCCCTGTGAGGATGGTTGTCTGGGTGCAAATTTCCATGCCACAGGAGCAGCAGAGCGCATCCCGAGCAGGAGAGATTTACCAGGGCTGAGCGGGTAACCTTTCAGATTTGCAACCCTAATTGGTAAGAAGACCAAAGACAAAGTCATAACATGCTTCACCTGTCATTGTCAACACTTATGTTATGATAAAGTCTGGTTGTGTAACAGTCCAACTATGACAACTGGTGACCCCGAGGTCTTCAACAACCGAAAACAGTGGTTTAAACTAATTTTACAGGATCATACTTGCATAAGGGATCCTTTAAAAGGAAAAGTTTGACATTTTGGACACATGTTTATTGGCTTTCTTTCTGAGGGAAGATTGATACCACCCTCACAGCTGTACACAACATGCTCACAACTGGCACAACAACTTAGCTTAGCAAAAAGACTGGGAACGGGGCAACAGCTAGCCTAGCTCTGTCCAAAGGCAATGACATCTGAATAACAGAAAACCAAAAAATTGCTTTTTTTCTTAATGGGGGTTACTGTATGTGCCTTGCTATATTATGTCCTAGAGTTTGGGCTGTTGTTTACTCATGATTTGGAGGTCTACTTCAGTTGGTTTTGATGTCCAGGTCTTCCTATTTCAAAAAGAATATTAAAAGATCATCCTCCTTTTATTTTACCTGCAAATACACAGAGGGTTCCTTCAGCAGAATGTATCTTGTCAGAAACAAGACAGGTCAGAATCATTCCGATAGTGTTTTAATATTTTTTCTGATGAAGTGTTGTTTTATACATATGTTTAAAAACAAAATGCTGAAGTAAAGATAGTGATAAAACATTTGTCTAACCCTTTCACCATCAACACTACGCTTGCCTTGGGACAAACGAGGTGTCTACCTGACAGGCACAATTGTATAACTTGTGTCCACCATCATGTTTGTAACACACACTCATATTGCCCCAAACAGTATTCGCGAGGGTCCGCCACAGATTGATAATCACCATGAGTATTTATGGTTGAGTTGCAATAATATCCGTGGCCCATACTCCTCCCTGTTGCTGCCTCTTAGGATACACCATGCCATCCCCAATGGACATCCAGCTCAGTGGCATACTTCTGACACCACTTACATTAATGAGCTCCCCCCCCCCCCCAACTTGAATAATGACCTCCTCATGAACACCTCACTGTCCAAACATTACCCAGTCAAGGAGAAGCTAGTGGCAAAGTGACACACGGCCTAATGATTAAGAATGGCCTCCCAGGGTGTCTCCAGTCAAACTGAGATGCATCACCAACCTGGATTGTGGAGCCACACGAAGCAGCACTGGGGTAGTAACGTAATGCCACTGACCTGCTAAAGTGTCCATTAACTTTTCATTATGCTTTTAGAGAATGGAATTGAAACTCCTCCCATGCAGAAGTCTTCAGATATAAGGGCAGCCCGAGAATCGCTCAAAACTCACTTGAAATGCAACGCTAACATCCGACCATCGACCTGCTGGCAGCAGTCAAACATTACTGATCTGTAAAAGTGCAAATCTTTAAGACCCGGCGAAAAAAAAGCCAAGGAAAGTCAATATCTGTATTGAGCTGTGTCCGCTCGGGCCTAGTTGAAATGAATGTATTTGGTATGGGTGAGGGAGCTGCATCAAATCTTGCTCAAAATTGAGAAAGGCTGATTGGAGTTCACATGGTCACTTTTCATTATTTAGAAATTAGACAAATCATATGAAGATTCAGAGCTGCAATTAACCTTTTTCTTCAAAACATCAGTTTCTCAATTAATTGCTTGATCATAATTAGCATATGAATTCTTGAGGCCCAAAAAGGTGTATGGTGAGGTTCACAGTGACCTTTTGACTGCCAAATTCTAATCTGTTAAACCTCGAGAGCAAGTGGACATTTGTGCCAAATTTGAAGAAATCCCTTCCAGGTGAGCTTTAGATATCACGCAACACAAAATGGGTTGCGTACGTGGCCAGAGTTACGTGTGGCAAAGCCCATCGGAAGATGATGCCTGCTAGTCTGTTTAAATTCTTACTTATAGACTACTGTGAGCAAAATAAATGGCAAATCCTCCTTTGTATTGAGGACACACAATAAAGACACTTTATAGGGTCAGGTTTAAAAGCCAAGGCAACAACAGGGCAGTTCCTGTTGTTGCCTTGGCTTTTAAAATACAAAATAATACAGCATTTCTTCCTAGTCATGGTTCATGTACAGAGTTTCTCATAGAAAAAAAAGTGTGTGTATTGATGTGTGCATGCCCTTTCATTATTGACTAAAGTTTAACTGGCTGGCCTCTGCAGGCCGTAATCAGCACTCTCGCCAGATCTTACGGCTGGGTCACCTATTGGGGTTAAAATGGCCTTTCATAACTCATTGCCAACAACAGCACAGCACGCAGTCAGGGGGGCAGGGGTCAGCTCCCATGATGCACCAGGGAACCAAGCCATTTTGTCGGAAAACACAAGACTGTCTGACAGTTGAATAGTCCCAATTCAGTATTCTCAGTGGGTTCCCTTTATCCACTTGTAAAGTCGTGGCTGTTGTGCTGCCGGACAGAGTGGATATGCAGCAGCACAGTCAATACGGGGGCTTAGGGACAATCTATTCATCGCATGTTAAGACACACGGCGAGTTTTTAGAGCCGCCAGGGTGAGGTGTATTGAAATCTGGTCCCTGTGGTGACCGATGACCTTTTGGCTGCATCTGGGTGTAAATCCTTGTTGGTGCTTAGTGGAGACGAGTACGCAATATCTTCGCTGTCCACCGTAATCCCTGTTCAGATGAGCTATGGCTGCCTGTCTTGTCTCATATGATACCACAGACAAAGGCTTTTCTTTTACAAAAGCCCAGCCAGCTTTAAATTCCAATGCAGGGGTGGTAATTGCATAGCTGCCTATTTCAGATGTAGAAGAGCTCCTGGCTTTGAGGAGGATGTACTGCAGCTGTGTGGATATGCTCCTGGTAGCAGGGGAAGTAAAGCAAAAAGACTGCAGTCAATAATGAAGACTTAGAAGTATTTAATTATTTAAAAAAGGGGCGGCATGCTGGTTTTAATGTGTGATACGAACATAACATGTGTCATCCAGTCTTGGGTCTGAACTACAGCCTTTACTTCCTCATTCTTAGCAGACATACAGTACCTAAAAGAAAAGGCTTAGGTATCACCAAACTAAGACAAGCAAGAAACCATCTAGTTGTCACAATAATACTTAAAGTCAATACCGCGTATAGACCACAGGTCTGTGTCGAGTAGAAGTCAGCAATGTACCTGCAAATGCTTACCAGTGTTACACAAGCAACTTTTTAAGAGAAGAACTTACGAGGTAGTAAACTGCTATTTTCTTCCTGTTGGCATTGGCTGCTGCTTTCAGTTTATCTCGGAGCCAACAGCACTGCCAGGCCAGCTGACAGCAGTAGCCAGCTGCCGGCCAGCTGCTGGCCGATTGCTTGCAACACTCTGGCTTGTTGATGCGAGGGCCGGGGATGTGTTGATGAAAATGAGGGATTAATACATCCGATGCAAACAGGAATAAGTAAGCAGTGGAGTACCCCGAAAATGTCTCTCTAGCCGAACACCAGTGTTTCCCATACATAGATACTGTTTCCTTTTTTCAAACGTCTGATTCAAAGTGCAGTTGAAACAGAGCCGATTGAAAAATGTGCCCCGAATATGAATATATGATTGTATAGAGTGCAAAAAATGACTTCCCTAATCGGTAACGTGAACGCCTCCTCCCGTCGTCCCATTATTAAGCCAAGATGATGCCACCGTGAAACAACTCTGTAGAGGAGCTTTTATTTACCTTGCCTCATTTAGCCTGGCTGGGAACAGACAGCTGCTCAGAGACACATACTGGTTTGCAGCAGACTTTGACTGTAAACACATGCGAGCCATCTACATGGCATCATGCAGGCGCTGTAGGCTCCTCTCTTGTGACAGTAACTTAAGTTCCAAGCAATAGACTGAAAGTTCACGTTGTTTGCACCCATTGCACGTTTGCAGTTTAGCATGTGACCAGTATGCTTGACTTCCACTCGAGGTTTGTGTGTGATTTGGGTCATGCTACAGATATAAAAAGAGTACTGATCTCAAATCAGGAAGTAGTCAGTTATACAGATCTGTTGTATTCTAATGAGACTCGAGTGTTTAATGATAGAGGTGTACCATAGACAAAGAACTGAAGGAGGTCTTGATAGACAAGTAGCTTTTGTGGCCCTCATTTGTGTGGCATTCACGGTCCACAGGGGAATCAATCCCATTGCAGTCTGGCTCATTTTGGGCAGTGGGGAAACAGAGCTCCAGCCTAGATGGAGCGGAAAATCTGTCATTTATATGAATATGAATGCTGTGCAGGTACTTTGGAGTTAAACAGTCAGGTAAGGTGTACAAGAGGCATTGGATTTCCTATAAAAAAAGCTCCTCCATTAAAAGAGGCTTTTCCATTTGACTGTGATGGAGCGCCACAAATCCGTTTTCTTCTGCCGGATGACGCTTGTCGGATTGGACATTCATTACGGTATGCTTGTTATTCGGTTGCATTTCTGCAGCGTATGCCAGCTGTGCCCGACTCCATATTGTCTCTCTCCTTACAGCTGTGACAACTGTGAGCACATGCCCACATCTATCCGACTAAGGTAGCATTTAAAATAGTCCCAGAGATAAACAACTGAGGGTTGAAGGATGGACAGAAATTTAGACGCAGCAAAGGGCCGTGCATCTATGAATGAAACCACTTCAAAACAAGTGAACAGCAGCAATACTGTGTCATGCTCTGTGAACATTCCAGTACAGCCTCCACAGGACTGTGTTAAAGGGCCTTTTGTCCAGCGAGTTACCTCATCAGCACTCATATGGAGCCTCGGACACATCAACATGCACCGCGGGGTGAAGGACACTAGGACATTACTATGTGCAGACACATGATGCGAGCATGCATATCACATAAAAGTACCAACCTTTTCTAGCAGGACCTTGACACAGGAGGCGTGACCCTCGAAACAGGCAGAGATCAGTGGAGTGAGCCCGTGTTTGTCTGGAGCCTGTGGGGGGGAGCAGGTGGGAAAGGCATGAGTGGATAACAGAAAAAAAATGTTCCTTTGAGAAAAGCATGAGCCGATCCTAAGCACAACCCCGAGCCTCATACACAAGAGCACATCTATCTTTTTCTCAAATAAGAAAAAGAACTCCTGTGAGAGAGGTTTTACTTCTCCCTTAAAGCGAGAAATGAAAAGACGCGCACTGCACTCCAACGCTATATTTATCTCAAATGTTTCAGAAGCTGAGCTGGTTATCAAGAGAAATTGAGAAATGCTCAAACATATTGGGGCTTGGGAGGCAAAGCAAAGACTTTATGTTGGTGCAACTTTAAATCCTTGTGTCTGTGAAGACCGGACCAGTGGATGTTATGGTGTTGAGCTGTTGTATCTAATCTCAGGCAAGCGGGGGAAATGCACCAAGCTAATGTGGGAGCTTTGAGCATCAGGAAGCATCCTAGAAACTCTACAGTACAGAACACCATTGATGTACAAATAAAAAAACAACCATCGAGGCTTTGTAAATTGCTCTGGAAATTATTTATCCAAATTTGTTTCACGCACACATCACAAAGCTTTGTTTCTTTCCAATGGAGTTTCATGCTGCTTGCACATACAATTCTACTGGTTACTGAACAGGCATATGAGACCTTTAGAAAAAGCTGTAAATTACAATAGAGCTCCATCCAAATTACAGATGTCAATACTGTTGGATGGGTAAGTGCCCTTTAAGTGGATCTGGATCAATCGACAACAACAACACCAGAAGAGACTATTGCAGCTCAGAGGGCCCATCAGGCTAAAGGTCTGGAAACAGACAATTGTTGAATGAGAGAATGGACACTAGCTGAAATAGCATATGATATACTGGTTTTAACAGACTACCTGAAGCCTATTGTTAAACTGCTTGAGCTAACATGAACATTATCAATTTGTTTGAACTTGACTATGAAGGGAAGTAGACATGTCAAACTGTTATTTTTTTGTGGGCATTGTAACAATGGACAGTATGCAAATTAATGCAAAAAATAATGTGATGGTAGTTGGTCGTTGTGGCTCTTACATTAATATCTGCTCCCTTAGAAATGAGGTACTTCACCACATCTGTCTGACCAAAGTCTGCAGCATAGTGCAGAGGCTTCCTCCCACCTTCCAGGGTCCGGTTTACATCGTCGGCCTGGAAAAGAGAGACAACACAATAACAGGGCTGAAATGAATACAGTGTATGGCACAAGCCAACAATATGCATCAAAGACGGATCCGAGGACCCCATTCGCTCACTGTTGATACAAGCTCACACTGACATACAAAAGACAAACAATTACATGCACCATCCTTTGCCCTTCATTTCCCTGCTGTGATGCTGTTGGTCCTCAGACAGCTAAGAGAAAAGACAGACAGACTCACCGCCCTTCCTCGTTCCATTAACCACACATACAATACCTAATGGAAGACGTATCAGTAACAGCAAGTTCCACATTTTCTCAAAAACTGCACTTTGACTACGACTAACGAATTGTTGGGGTAAAAAAAACATTCATTAGTAGAGATGCACTTTTCTTGGCCAATTCTAATTTTTTTGAAAATCTAACCTGCCGATTCCCACAGTCCTGGAGTCTTCCAGCAAAATAGTTTCAAACATCCCGAAGTCAGTGTATTCCTTTTACTTTGTTATTGTCATCCTACGTGTTTTTTTGCATAAAAACACAGTTTGAAATACTAGGAAATAAATAATTTACCAAAAAAGTTTAAATTATGTATTATATATGCTGCTTAAAGCTAGTGTTAGTAAGTTAAACAGGTCATAATTTCCCCTCTAATATCTAGTTTATATTGCTGGGAAAATATCTCCTTCAAAAGAACCAAATTTATTCAAGTTTCTCACCAAAAACTACATTTGAACACGAGAGCATTATAATTTACTTTTGCAAAACTCTCATTTATTGAGTAGAGATTGAACGCACCATAAGGCAAGTTAATGCAACCTTCGTTAACTTTAGCCATTGTGCTACGTGCAGTCGGCAGACGAGCCGATAACCGATTAGTGATCAGATCAGCTTGCTCAGAGGCAAGTATGGAAAAGGATTACAATATCATAAGTGTCTGATTAGGTTTGTTGTTTCTTTTCAAGGCTAATTTTGGACTCACAGTTGTGACAAACTGTATTATTTATGTTTATGTCTTTTTCAAACAGACACATGTGTGCCGACGTAGAACTATCTCGCGGCACACGTATTTAAATATGACTGACAAGAAAAAAAATCTTTGCATTTATAGTGGTGAAAATATGAGTGATTGGAGCATACCGATCATGCAAGGAGGGTGTTGAAATGGATTACACTGCAAGAGTGGCTTTAAAATACACTGGTTAGTTGCAATGGATTCTGTCAGTGACCAAAGCTTACAGAGGATAAAGTGTTAAGACATTCAAGAGACTGATTTTGGGCATCGAACAGGCTACTGATTGACGAGTCCAATGACAAAATGACAGTCTATGTTTGGATAAAATCTTCATGTGTATTTAAACTTGACCTAGAACATACACTTTTCAGATGTCTATATGAAATAACGATATATTATAGCCTATTCTAAGAATTTATTAGGCATACTAGTGTAACTATCCTGTTTGCAAGTAAAACTATAAGCAAACATCAAATCAATGTACACAATAACCTAATGTAGGACTGTATGTTAAAGCAAAAAATGGCCTCCTCCAGCAGAGGCAAACGCCAGGTTTTAATCTAAAAAAGCAGAAGACACTGTAGGCTCTGTAGTGAAATCAGTGTGGCCTAACAGGCACTTATAGGTGATTACTTTTCTATCAGTGTCTGCCAAAACAAGACTATGTTGGCGAGTGTGGAGGGTGCCGCCGGATTTGCTGTAGCAGAGCCTCCTAGCTAGCTAGACACTGCTAGAGCACGGGCCCGTGTGGTGGTTAAGTTGGTAGCTCACTTATCCCACAGCACCTTTCTACCGACAATAACGCGTTGTCAACAACTATTGTCGTTGCTGCAGCTGGATTTACAATAAACACGACGGTAGCAGTCAACGCTAGCTGTCTACATACAATGTGTACCACCACGTACCAGCTGATGTTGTTGTTGGTATGCTTACCAACAGGTTGCCTTCTGCGGAAAGTGTCAACTATAGCGTTTTGCCAGCCGAACTAAACATCTAAACCCACAAAGTATAATGTTAATGACGATAGTTATACGGCTAGAGTCTAGATAGTTAGCAAAACACTGACCCACTATTGTTTAATCAAGACTACGTTAGCACTGTGTGTTGCTAACTATGCTAACTTGACATTAATACTTACACTCAGTCCACGCTAACGTGTTACGACAACCTTGAATATTTTGAAACGAGTACAAGCTTAGCTAAAGCTGTATAAACTACAAATAACGTTACGATGCCATCCAGCCATACCTAATAGCTTGCTTGTGTTAGATTACCTAACTTAACATTACCCAACTCCAGCTAACTGTAGCTTGCTAGCAAGCTAGCTAACCAGTCTGCTAACTCACGTTAGTTAGCTAAGCAGCCACTCACTGGACAAAAATAAAAACAGTCAACACACATAGTCGTCTTACCGTTACCAGTTTGGCTTCCACCTCATCCAGGTCCCCGGTCTTCAATGCCCACACCAAATCTCCCATCTTCCTGTGTTTGGCTCAGGTGATGCTGCTTCCCTGCTGCAGGCAGTTGTCAAGTTAAATGCTAGTGCGTTAAAAGTTAGCTTGCTATAGCTGAAAAAAACTCTTCCTGTCGTCGCGGGTGAGGACGGTTGTAGGACTCGACTGAATAAAAACCTCCTTTTAATACCTAAGAAAGCTATTTTTGTTGGATTTGGCGTAACCCCCCCGAGGAATGGCAGGTAAAAATAAGCTCAAAAGAAGTTCTGAAAGGCAAAGTAGCCGAGAGGGATCCGCCTTTCTGCATGCCAGAAGTGTTTCCGTTGTGGTTACCCGGAAGTGAGGTAATCGTTATGTTGCGCTGTACAGTCTATGCAGGTGCTACCGGTAAAATGATAAACACTGAAATATTTTGATATTACATTTTGACAATTAAAACTTGAAAAATATTTCCCAAAAGATATCAAATAAATTGCAATCATTATTTTTATCCTTATTATATCATAATTTCGAAAAAAATAGAGGCTATAGGCACATGAATATTCAATATTATAGTAACAATTTAAAAATAATTAATAAAAACTGTACATCAACAATTGATGGAACTTAAATACATCAAACTAAGATTAGATTCCTCGAAAATATCATATTTTAAAGTTGTGTTGCTGTAATTTCAATGCTGAATGAGAACAACAACTGAGAGACTTGTGAAGTCCATTTGATGATTATTTCATCGTCGGAGTTGCAGGTTGCCTTTGATCAAATCTTTTGATCATAGTTAATTTCCTGTGACAGCCCGACCTGCTACAACATGCTGGAACAAGACACTACATGTTTTCTGTTTTACCTGCACTCTGACCTCCCGTCAGAGATTAATTAGGTTCTAATATACATATGTATGAGAGAGTGGGACCGGCCTCAGAGAGCCTGTGGACCTTATGACTGATGATACTTTGGCTGTGCGCCTTGTGCATCATTATGCACCCGGGGACCCGAGGCATTAATGCAGCAACTCGTGGAAGCAATCTGCACTTTCAGGGCCATCTCCATGTCATCCACCATTTGAATAATTGCACAAGAGAGGACCAGCTGCAGAAAGACAACATAGCAAGAGGGGAAAAAAATATTGTTTTACCTTGATCTGTAAAGGATCAAGGGCACACAACTGCCTTTTTGCCATAGCGTCGCCATTAGAGCCTCCTACATCTGCCCCCCCCCAACCCCCAACTGTGTACATCCTCTCTCCAGTGAATATGTTTCAACACTATCATTGCATGAAATCAGCAGCCAATTTGTCCATAGGATGAAGAGGACAATAACAGACACCATTTTGAAAAAAATTCAATACGGCAGTGTGATGAGAATAAAAATGCCCCTAATTAGATTCAATCGCACTCCCATCCTACTCCTATAGCTCTCCTTTACAACATCCTGCCCCTAGTCACCTCTCTCTCTCTCTCTCTCTCACACACACACCCCAACACTATACGCATACAACAGACTGAAACACTGGTATTAAAACTCTTTTATGTGATAGTAATAAACTGCCCTCAGAGTGTATGTTGCAGATTTTACACCCAAATGGTAATAAGGACACAGACAGTTACTGCAGGTTTCTCCTGCCTTTATGCTAATGTGACTGCTTTTATGCTAATGTGACATATGCCTGAAATGAGTCCCAGAATGGTTAATCACAAGTTCACATGTGGCTTAAATCAATTGCAGCCTAACCAGTCATGCCTTGCCGTAATGATGTCCTCTTACTAATGTCTCATTACAAATTCTCGAACCAGTTTCGATCAGAAAATGTATGCTTTATTTCACATGAACTCTAGTAGCAGGATGTGTATTTTTTTACATCATTTATAGGGAAGGTTTGAATTTTGCAGTCTAAATATCACATGTTACTGTGAGTAAAAGTAAGCCCCTGGAATGTGAGGGAACAGCACAATGTTTTTTTTAATATATGGACGCCAGGGAGAAAGCTTTCCGCCTGACAGAAATGTTAAAGTAATTCCATCCATAGGCATGACAGCGTGGCATCATCATTTTTCAATCTATTAGCAGCGCTCAGGCAGCAGAACTACATTGTGCTGTAGTTCTGCTGTACATTGTACATTAATGCTGAAGCTGAAATGATACATTGAGGATTATTTATTGTGTGTGAAGGAGAAAACACACTATTGAATAGCATCCGTAAGGGAATACCAAACTAATACAAAAGGCTTTTTACAAGCAAAAATGTGAAGTAATGCTACTTTACTTGAGACTTACCTCACTTTATTTCCAAGGGCAATATTTTTTGTGCTCTGCTACATTTAACTAATCTGACATCTGTAATTGCTAATTATGGATGGAAAGCAGATTGGGTACATTTGCATAATGTATTCATATATATATATATATATATATATATATATATATATATATATATATATATATATATATAAGACATTTACACAGCTAACAAGCATCTTTAGCATTGCAAAAATTTGTTAGGGTGTTCGCCAAAGTTAGCTGCTGTTGCTAAGACAGAGAAAGGTCTCGAACAAATAAAATTTTCTCCAGATATATCTGTCTGAAAATGCCATTTCAGTGTCAGAATGTTAGTGGAAGATATAGCTTGTGACAAATGGTCCAATATTTACGCTGGTGGCTATGGGGTGAAAGAATCATTCATAATCTGTGTTCACTCCTCCCATTGGAGTTAAATAGACTCAGGACTGTTATCTCTGTCTCCTAAAACTCATGTGACACAGATACAGGAAACTGACTCTCAGTGGGATGTCTTCTTCTTTAACTGTCTCTGGTAGTAGCTTTACATTTTCAATTGTAACATTGGTACTACAACCTCAGTAAAAATGTGAGTACTATTTCAACTGCTACCTGTGGACTAATACTGCATCCACAAAATTAGCGTCAGTTTCTCCTATTGGTGTTCTGTGTGCAGACACCTGCCAACATTGAAATATAAAATTCTTGTTCAGTTTTTAACCTCTTAGACTTTCCATACCTTCACCAACAATAACAGTGCATGTTGCAAAATGAAAGAGGACATCTGAAGAATGCTGGTATGCCAAATAAGTGAGAAATCTGCAGGATATACATATAAAGATACACAAGACTGGCTTTAAACCGTTCCTTTTGTTCTGCATGGTACATATAATTAACAATAATTAGAAGAGTTTAAGTTCTGGCCATGTTTGCGAAATAAAATAATCGTATATCCTCTTGTGATCTGCTCATTCTCCCCCTCTGCAGTATTTCTTGAGACCATCCTCATCAAGTTGATTAGTGTACTGAAGGGTAATCCATACTAAATTGGTTTAATCCATCTATCTCAGTTGTACATGGCCTTGTCTTTGTCACGGCTAAATGTAATGTGATTAGGGAGGCCTGCTGTGACTGTTGCAGACACCCAAGGTATCCTGACTTGATAGCTCCAGCACAATCCTGGGGATTCACTGAGAGTGGCCTAAATGTCAGATCTGTTTGCCAAGATAGCAACTACTAAGCCTAAGATTGTCAGGACATAGGGATTTATACAGTTTAGTGTAGTGTAGCTGCTATCATGCCAGCACCTGGAAAGTCTGTGAAACATGAAAAGTTGCTTGAAATCAAACTGAATTTTAGCATAAACCCTGGCTCAGGAGTTAGAGCGGGTCTACCTTTAATCAAAATGCTGGTGGTTCGATCCCTGGCTCCTCCTGTTCGCATGTTAAAGTGTCGTTGAGAAAGACACTGAACCTCCACCACCATTGGTGTATGAAGGTGTGTGTGAATCAATGAGTGAGAGGCAAATCATAAAGCGCTTTGTCTGAAGGTAGAAAGGCACACTATAAAGGCAGTCAATTTGCTGTTTGGCAGTGTGTTTTGTGTGCTGGAAACAAGATCGATGAAATACTTAAATGGTGAAGCTGCAAAAAATTATTTGTGGTTTCATCACGATGTCTGACCACTTTCACATTACACATGGTAATTTGATCCAAATAAGAAAAAAACACTTATTTTTCTTAGCTTCTTTTAGAGATGTGGAAAGAAAACATCATGAATACACATGTTTTTCTACTTTGTCTATGAACGGCTGTAGATTTCTCCTAAATTCAACAAAAGTTACCGTCAGATGATGTCTCATTTCAACAGAGAAATTCAGAAAACTTGCTTTACAAAAAAAGATTGTCTTAATCAGCTGGGGAAGTTTCATGGAGATATCAATTAGTCAGCATTTCTTAACCATTTAACCTGTAGTGTCTTGCAGAATGTGTATGTTTATAATACTCAACAGCCGTTTTCTCAAAATTAGTTTTTTCTCAGACTGTGAGCCAGAAATCTCCACCGAACTCCATCAGTTTCTTTCCTGTATACACTGATGGTTTTTATTGAGTGGTTTGTTCATATGTCATTCGCAGCTTGATTTATTTTGTTCCTTAAAACATTGCCAAAATTGTTGTTGTTTTTTAGCTCTAATTACAGAAGTTTCTCAGACATCACAAATTGAATTCAACATTTTTATTGTTCATATTTGGAAGTGTGGGATGAACCGGACAACCCGGAGAGACCTTTGTTAGATGAGTAAGATGATGACTAACACAGCAATTACACCTGCAATAGTCATGCAATAGAGCAGAGCAAAAGGCCAGCCCATGGAGGGCCCTTCAGTGATGGCGAGTCCCTCCGTCGTCTGGTTTACCATCTCTTTGTGTGGGAGACCCACTCTTCTTGGCTGTGGTTCTGGGGAGCGTCACACTTGATCATCACTCTCACTGTGAGAGCAGGGTGACGTGCTAACGTCAGCAGGCTAACATGCTTATGTTAATATGCATTTCTTAAGCACAACTTCAGTGGTTTCTGTTTGTATTGTATTTCAATTTTTTTCCTCGCAGAGAACTTGTTGCTAAGATCTGTGTTGCATGCAAAAGCACCATAACTAAGTTCGGGATGAGAGCAATTTCCGCAACTCCCAGTAACGTTCCACCCATGATTGATTTAAAGCTCCAACCTCTCGATCACAGCTGGTCTGTTGTACTCAGATATTGCACACGGAGCAAATTTGGTTTCTAAACCGGGGAATGTATAATGACGGAGAGGGCGAGTATCATCTGGTTTTTCCGACTTCTCTATTTGAAAACTTTTGATAAAAGGGGTTGCAAACAGGACTCTATTTGATGAATCTATACAGCGGGAATAAAAAAATGCAGTTTGGAAAAGTAATAAAAACTGGTAACTGCAGGGGAGCGTGTTGAGTGTTGAGGGCAGAGGAAACATTGCTAGTAAATAATTTCCCATCCAATTGACCCATAACCTTTGGAGCTTAATCTCAAGA